CAAGTGACTTTTTACTTTTATTTAAGGAAAATTATCATAAATATACTTTAATTTTCGCCTTTTTAGAAAAAAAAAAACCCTCAACTTTCATAAATATCGCCCACAACCTTTTTCTTCAATTTTCATTACAGTACTTAATAAATATCACCCACAACCTTTTTCTTCAATTTCCATTACGTTTTAAGTACCGTAAACCCATATTATATCGCATTTTATTTACATTATTACGGCACTTCGAATGCCGTAATAGTATTGCACCATATAAACCATACTCGAAACCCTTTACTCCTTTATAGTTCTGTTTATACTTATCTCTTCTTTTTCTCTCTAATTCTTTTTATATTTATCTCTTATTTTTCTCTCTAATTTTTTATGTTTATCTATTCTTTCTCTATCTAATTCTTTTTAATATTTATCCCTTTTTTCTCTCTCTAATTCTTTTTGTCTTTTCTTTCTCTCTCTACAATGTCATCATCGTTTCTTTAGAGAGAGTAATCAAACGCCGAATTCGGCTATACAAAACAGAGGATATGATATATCTAAGGAAACGATGATGAGATTGTAGAGAAAGAAGAGATAAAAAACAATTAGACAGAGAAAGAAGAGATAAATATTACAAAGAATTAGATAGAGAAAGAAGATAAACAAATTAAAAATAAAAGAGATAAACATAAAGAAAATGATTTACATCATTTTAAGTGTTGTATAAGATGGGTTAGTTTTTACGGTACTTAAACGTATAATGGGTTTTAGTTTTTACGGTACTTTAAGTACCGTAATTGGCTTCACTCATTGCCGGAGTTTTACGGTACTTAAAGTACAATAATATTACTTAAAGTTACAACGGTATTTTAAAAATAGTATAAAATGATATGTATTACGGTAGTAAGACTACCATGAAGGTCATTTTATTAAAAAAAAAATCGAAAATGAGAAAAAAAGGTGTAGACGAGATAAACGAAAGTTTGGGATTTTTTTCCATTTAAACTTAAATTAAGGTATATTTGCAAGAATTTTCATTCTTTTTAATATTTATCTCTTCTTTCTCTCTTTAATTCTTTTTTTTTTTTATCTCTTTTTTCTCTCTCTATTTACTTCATCAACTCAATAAACGTGATTCCAACGTGCCAGGGATATTTGTATAATAACATGTGTACCTTACCCTCCCTTCAACTCCATCCGACTCCGTTTGTAATTATTTGCAATTATCTTGTTGGTAAATCACCGAAAAATTAAGGTATATTTATGATAAATATAAACAGAACCGTAAAGGAAAAAAGGGTTTCGAGTAAGATTTATAGAGTGCGATACTATTACAGCATTTCGAGTGCCGTAGTAATACTTCAACTCTTTACGATATATAAAATGATGTATAACTAGTTTTTACGGTATTTGAAATACTATAAATGGTATATGACTAGTTTTTACTTTTCTTAAAGGACTATAAATGGTGTATAACTAATTTTTACGGTACTTAAAGTATCATAATGGTGGCTCACGATAATACGATTACCGTAAAAAGTTATTTTGATAAAAAAAATACCCATAATTGAAGAAAAAAATTGTGTCATGAAAGTTGAAATTTTTTTCTAAATAGATGAAAAATAAATTATATTTGTGATAATTACTTTTTATTTAATGAAAAAATTGGTAAAATTCCATTCGGTGTCTTTTCTTGTCCACATTCAAGATTCTTTAACGGGCTTGTTTGGTCATCCGCCATTCACGGAAGAGGCTATCTTTTAGACTTTTACAACCTATTTCGGAAACTCGCCCCGAAATTGGACTTCATTGATCTTCATATGCGTGCTTAGAAATGCAATTTTTTCAAGAGTAATGATCCTATGTGTTATTTAGGGTTATTTAACCGGCTTATAAAAGAAATTTATTAAAGCATAGTTAAAATAGTAATAGCGTATTTGGGTGTACTAATTATCATAGATAATGGACAATTTACTGTTTCAATAAAGTTAATCCTGCTAATAAATATGTGTTGTTTGTGATGTATATTATAAAGTTATTTGAAATAAATTTTATGTTTTTACAAGATTTATAATTTTATTTCTGAAATTCAATTGCATCACAATTACAATGGCAAAAAAAAAAAAACGACAAAAAAATATGTGTTGTTAATCCTGCAAATAAATATGGGATAATTTAATGTTTCAATAAAGTTAATCTTGCTAATAAATATGTGTGTTGTTTACGATGTATATTATAAAGTTATTTGAGATAAACTTTATTTTTTTACAAGATTTATAATTTTATTGCTGAAATTCAAATTGCATCACAATTACAATGGCAAAAAAAAAAGCGACAAAAAAATATGTGTTGTTAATCTTGCAAATAAATATGGGATAATTTATTGTTTCAATAAAGTTAATCCTGCTAATAAATATGTGTTGTTTGTGATGTATATTATAAAGTTATTTGAGATAAACTTTATTTTTTTACAAGATTTATAATTTTATTGCTGAAATTCAAATTGCAACACAATTACAATGGCAAAAAAAAGAAGACAAATCATCAGTCACAACATTTGTAATAAATTTAAACTAAAAAAACACATCCAGCAAAGTTATCAAAACATCGTTATATACTTCTCTTTGACACAAAAAAAAGGAAAAAGAAAAATAGGAAAAAAGAAAAAAAAGAAAAGAAAAGAAAGCTAAAGTCCCGTTTGGGCACATGCTTATTAGCAATGGTGATGTCTTTTCTTTTACTCATTTATACTTTTATTCAGTGTTTGAAAAGTTGGCCGAGTTATTTTGACCTGCGTGAATTATTCGGGCATGGGCCCTTGTCGAGCCAGAGTTGCAGGTACCACTTCATAATCTTTTAAAAAACTTATAAAAATCTAAAAAAATAAGAAATACATTTGTAATATATTTATTTATGTTTTCTACCAATTTTTTTTGCTAAAAATATAATTTTTTTTAATTATTATCTAAAAATGATATTAAGCTAACATTTGGATTTTTGTTTTCTTCACAATGAATCTATTCGAGAGAATTTAGACGTGACACCAATAGGCGATAAGATAGGAGAGAGTGGACTTGGGTGGGCTGGCCGTGTGTGGCGCTGACCAAGTACAAGACCTATTAGGAGATACAAATTAGTTAAAGTTGAAGTAATGAAAAGGGCAAGGGGTAGGTCCAAAAGAACGTAGTTGAAAATAGTTCGAAAAGATATAGGGACTTATGACTTCACTGAAGATATCGTCTTTAATAGAGCAGAATGGAGAACTATGATTGTTATAGCTCACCCCAATTAATTGGGAAAAGACTAAAATGATGATGAAAATTGAATAAAAATAATTTAAAAATATTTTTAATGAAACATTATGATCAAAATAAATTTAAAGGTATTTTGATTTTTTTTTATTTAAAATATTTTTAATCAATTTAACTAAGTTATCTTTATGAAATAAGCCTATGCCTTAAAAGTCATATAAATATTTCATATAAATACAAAATAAATGTGAAAGTAATTTTTGGCCATTAGATTAGGCATTATCAAATCTCAACCATTAGAAGGGTGTTTGTGCATCCTTCCACCCATCCACATGATGTGGATTTGATACTTTTCCTTTGATAAATTAGCCTTGTTTCTATTTACTAAGGTCGGATCTAAGTATGATTACACTTATCTTAAAACTGAAAATAACATGCAAAGCGTGTAAACTCGTAATTATTTCTCACAAGACATATAGAAAGATGGCAGAAGAAAAATCATAAAATATACTCCAATTGTAATCCCATGACCATTTCAAATGCGTCCCACACTGTGATTCGCTTAAATGAACTTTACCGGGCGTTCTCTCCATCACCGTCTAACCAGTTGATTCAACGGTGATAAAACACTCCATCATTATTCGTTCCTCATGACGATAAATATTTCTTGGATGAAGTTTCTATTAGGCCTAGGCTTTATGAAGACAAAATAAAGCCTCACCTCAACTCATCTCGAAAGCACTTTTGGCATAGAAATTTTTTATGATGGCTCTGAAATTAATTTCCAGCATTGATGATAAATTTTGAAACTCAAAAAATACTACAGATCTTGCGGATCCATAAACATTTATTTTTAGGCAAAATGGATGGTCTAGATGATTTGTTGCATATGCACGAGTTTTAGATTTTAAAATCATAATTTTTTTTGCACAACCATAATGTTCAAGCTGGATGATCCAAAGGTTTTTCAACTTTTAAATTACAAGTTATGAGGTGAGTTTTACTTATTTTGAAGGAGGTGGAGCCTTATCAAACTACTTTCCATATTTCTTTGTCTTACATCATGGTTTGATAAGGCTGCAACCCTATCAAAATAAGTAAAGCCTTATCTTATAATTGATCGGAAATTGCAATTCAAGTTTTGGAAAACACTTATATGGATTGATTAGGATTCAACATTATGATGGTGAAAAGATATTAGGGTTTTAAATTCTAAAATAGTGTATATTATAATAAATTATCTATTTTATTTCGACCCAAAAATAAATGTTTGTAAGATTTGTGCTTTATAATTTTATTGTTAACGTTGAAAATTGATTTTAGAACCTTCCTCAAGATATATTAGGGTTTTAAATTCTAAAATAATATATATTATAATAAATTATCTAATTTATTTAGACCCAAAAATAAATGTTCCTAAGATTGTGCCTTGTAGTTTTATTGTTAGCGTTGAAAATTGATTTTAGAGCCATCTTCGATTTACATTGCGAAAGTGCTTTCGAAACAAAGATTTAAAGTGAGGTTTTATTTTATTTTTATAACCGTGGTGCCCTATAAAAACTTCATCCCGTCATATTTATTATTTAGTTGATAAACAAAACATTATTAAAGATAATTGTATTGCGTCACGCGAACCTAGCTACCCTAAGCAAATCCTTTATTGACAATCTGCTTTATCAAGAAAGTTGGAGAAGGTTTACTTCAATCTTATACGTTCATTTTGTGACGTGAACAGCTAAGATTAAAGACCAGAGAAGTTGGAAGCCTTTCGAAAACCCATATAACAAGGTTTGCTTCCGCTCTTTAAATTTTGCACTGAACTGCTCTAGCTTCTCTGCTATCTTCTGATTATCTTATTTGTCTATCTACTGAAAATTCACGGGTCCGATTTTTCAATTCAGGATCTACAAAATAAGCCTGGTTTTGTTTAGAATCTAGGCTTATTTCTCTTGAATCAGTGAACGAATTGTTCCTGGAAAGCCAAGAACGTAAAAGAGTTTTCTTTAATGATTCAGCTCTTTCTTGACCGATTATCGACGTAATTCTATGGGAATTGATTCTTTTGTGAGATACTCTGGTTTGTGTCTTTGAAACTAGTTCAAATTTGTTAGGGAAATTAATATTGAAAAACCCTAGATCTCTGAAAATAGGCCGTTCATCTCCTATCTCTTGGATTTAATAGGCGGTTGATCTCTTATCTCTTGGATTTTGATGGAAGCTGTATTTGAAAAGAAAGAAAACCCTAGAAGAAACTTTGAGGAGTTCCCGTAAATTGTAGATCTTGAATCAGAGCCCTTTTTTAGACACAGTTGTGACTTATAATGGATATTTAAACATTTGGATCTTGATTCACTCCGTCTTTAATAGTCCTTTCTTTAAGGACTCACAGTGTCTTTGATAGCCTGATTTCGTTAAGGTTATTGAAGCAGGAATTCCTGTTATACATTTTTTCCGTCAAGGTAATTCTATGCACTTTGGTCGATATTACCGATTTTCTCTCAACCCTAAGGAAAAGGAAAGTCTCACAAGAATGTCACAAAATCAAGAACCGATTGAAGACATGGAGGAAGGAGAGATATCAGATCAAGATGTTGTTCAGGAACTATTTATGGATGATCTCAACCAAGAGGAAATAAATACTACTGATTCTAGGGTTTCGAATGATTTAAACCAGGATTCCTCAGTCTTTCTAGAAGAAAGTAAAAAACAGAATCAGTGGGGTTTCAATTTGTTAAAATTACCACATTCTTCGGGGATTTATGGCACCGATCTTTACAATTTTGCCTGGGCACAGGCTGTTCAGAATAAGCCGCTAGAGGGCATTGGATTGAAGGATTTCAGACCTGAGCTTGAATACCAGGATAAATATATGGGTTATGGAATTGACAATGAAGACTTGATTGATGAGAAAGCTCACCGGAAGGGAAGATTAGAACAAAACAAGGATTACAGAAATTCAGATGCTATGAATTTTATGGAAGAAGCTGAAGACAATCACCGGGAGAAAGAAGGTGCGATTGAAGCTGACAATCGTCGGGATAAAGGAGATGAGATTGAGGAGGGTGAATTGGAAGAAGGGGAGATAGAATTAGATTCTCCTTTGTCTGGTTCTCATCTCCTTGAAAATTCTTTGCAATCTGAAAAAAAGAAAGAGGGATCACCAGAGAGAAAAAATATTGACTTGGATATTTTGCCAATTTCTAAGAATGACTATGATGAGCTGAGGTCAAGTTTAATGGAGAAGGAGTTGGAGATGAAGATCGCTTCAATTGGAGAGATGCTAAAGGCAGTTACTATTCAGGATGCTAATAAGTAAGAAATTTTTTACTATAATAAAAAACCTATAATTAAAATTTTAATGAAACTCAATATGAATACACCTGATCATTCAAAATTTGGAATTCTATTGAAGTGATTCATAAAAGGTTGTTTCCAATTCATTGTAGGTCGATACGAGCAGTGTGTTATCATTTGAAGAATTCTATGGAAACTATGCATCAGATAGCTACCCAAGTTAAAAGTCTATCAAAGAATAGAATTACAGATCAACTGGATTTCTTTCTACATCTTGCTTTTGCGGGTATCCAATCTTCATATTCTGTAAGTGACAGACACTTGTATTTTTGTAGTATATGCATCTTGCTTTTGCGGGTATCCAATCTTTATATTCTGTAAGTGACAGACACTTGTATTTTTGTAGTATATGCTGTAAGTGACAGACACTTGGATCTCTAAGACACTTAGATTTGTAAGTGACAGACACTTGGATCTCTAAGACACTTAGATCTGTAAGTGATCTGTAAGTCTGCAAGACACTTAGATTTGTAAGTGATCTGTAAGTCTGCAAATTCCAGAGACACTTAGATCTGTAAGTGATCTGTAAGTCTGCAAATTCCACAGACACTTAGATCTGTAAGTGATCTGTAAGTCTGCAAATTCTGTTAAGTGACAGTAGATATCTGTTAGTGACCGTTGCATGCCCCCAAAAAATACACGATGAAAGAAGTAATTTAAGCTGAATATTTGTAATGCTCTCTTTGCCCACCAATTAAATGAAATATTCACATCGAATTGAATGAAATCGAATGATGCAGGTTTATCGGAATACACGATTCAGGCTGCAGGAGGAAGATACAAATGCTTTCTTAAGGTGTTTTCCAAATCTACCAAAACTAAACTTAACTGTTTGACTGAATAATCTGCTAAATTTATGTTATAGGCTATTGTTTTCTTCAAAATTCTTTAGTTAATCTGTTTTTTTAGATTTTTTTTTCTTTCAAATTTCATTAATTAATTGTCAATTCTTATTTTTCAAATTTCAGGCTGCTGAAATTTGTAAAATTCCAGACTCATACTCTATTTAACCGTAGACAAATGGAAGAGGTGATCTTTTCTTTCATATAAATAATAGAATTTAAATTTAGTTTATTTCAATAATTTCATTGGTAGGATTAATTACTTGATGATTGATAGAATTAATTAAATTAAATGGCTTCTGATATGAGGCTAATGAACTTGAGTTGATTGTGTAACAGTTAGAAGGGATGCTTTTCTGGGTTGAATCAGCTGTAGTAGATCGACAAAAAGAGACACAAGCTAATTTTGAATGTGTTACAAATCAAGGAAGAGAAAATATGATGAAAAATCAGGATAACCCCATGATTAACTTCTTCCCCAGTGTTATAACTGATGGGGGGAGTACCCATCGTACTGGCATTCTTCCCAAACCATTTGCTCAAAATCTGGTACCAAATAACCCAGATTTTATGGTTAATGGTGATCCAGTTTTTAATAGCTTTGATAATGGAACTGGTGGTGATTCAAAGCCTCGTAAAACACAAGAGAACTTATCAGTTACAGATAAAAAAGAGATGAATAATAACAAGCTTAATGTTCAAGGGGGTAATGAACTCAGCCTTTCCATGCCTATATTCAAAGATCCTTCAAACCTTCAAGGGAATCAGCCTTCCCTTTTACCATTTTCCAAGAATGGTACTGGGAGTAGGCATGTTGAATGTGAAGACACAGTATATCCTTCTGTAAATGATGCCCTAAAGGCTTTCTCTACCTACCAACAAAAATTTGGGCGAACATCTTTTTTATCAAATAACAAGCTGCCAAGCCCTACTCCATCTGACGAATGTGAGGGTGAAGATACAGATGCTCATGGGGAGGTCTCAAGCACTGGAGAGAGTAAGACACCTGAACCTGATAGGGTCTCAAGCTCTGGAGAGTTTAAGATTGCTGAGCCTGTTACGGATGTTGTCCAGACATCAGGACGCAACGCGAGTAACAGTCTTCTCCAGAAATCAGAACCTATTACGAGTAACAATCTTCATGGTTTGAATCCTTCAATTTCCTTCCAGTCAATACAAGTCAAGGAAGTTATGCCCGAAGGGAACTCGGCTTTTGGGTCAAATCCTTTAATAAAGAGTCAGCCAAGGAGAAGTAGGGATCCGAGGCTTGCGAACACCAATTCTGAAGCGGGCAGCAGTTTTGATCTTAACAAGCATCCTGCTTCTATTGATCCTGGTAATGTGAAACCCATACAACCTATACTTAATGGTGGCATTTTAGGTAGTCGAAAGACCACGATTGTTGAGGAGGCTGTGCTTGATGGTCATAGCTTGAAACGGCAAAGAGGCTTGTCATATGGTGGGCAGGTGATACCTGGTAGAGGTGGCTGGTTGGAAGAAAACACTCCTGGTGTTGTGCCTAGTTCGAAGGAACAAAGGGTGGAAATCGGTGATTCTATGAAGGAGAGACCAGTAAAACCAGAAAATGGCGCGGTTTTGGGTTCAGATATGAAACTTGATGGTAATAGTAATGCAAATGTCTCAACTGCTGTTAGGCCAGGTATGGGGCCAGGCTCGAGCAATATGGGAGGTGCTATGTTACCCAATTTGGGAAACATAGCCTCATTGCCAGATTTGATAAAGGATATTGTTACAAACCCAAATATGATTTTACAGTTAATCCAGAAGGAACAACAAAGATTAGGGGCTTTTCAGAAGCCGGTTAATCCACTGCCACAAAATCTTTCCTCTTCAAGCTCTACTTGTACAATGATGCCATCGAGTACTGGGGCTCCATTAAAATCTTCAGACGTTCAGCAGAGACCTGCGTTGCAACCTCAAATGCCTCCTCAAACAGCATCCATGGTGAGCTTCTTTATTGTAGACCATTTTTAAAATATATACATAAGACTATATATCAAGTTTTAAAACAGTGTTAAGCAATGTTAAGCTTCCTTGGCTGTATTTTAGTCTCTTTTTTCTATGGGATAAGTAGACTAAACATTGTTTCAGATTACCTATTACATATATTTTGTTCTTCACTTATTTAGCTTTCTCACCCACTCAAAGCCAGAGTGTTTATATGAAGTAGAGATTTCAAAGGTTGTTTTTTGTTGCAACTTGCAAAGCTATTTTTTGTTGCAACTTGCAAAGCTATTTCGTTAACGTGGTTATTGTAATAGGAGTTACTATAAGTAAAAAAGGCTGTTGCAATAGGAGTTTGTTTTTAAGTGCAAGAGGTCCAATCAGTTGACAAAGACTGTCAAAATTTTGTTTTTTTGATGAGATAGGAATGCAAATATCGTCTGTTTCATGACTAGGCTTTCGAAAAGTGTTCGTTTCCATTGATGTGAGAGATGGTTTTGAAGCAATCTATTAAATATAATTTAGTTATTGCATTTTTGGGCATTTGTGTTTATCTGTTCGGTCCAAAAAAATGATTTCTTCCTTGATCAATGTTGATTCTATAAATTTGGATAGGTAACTTTTTTTCTTTGGCTTTGTGCCATCATTTGATAGCCCTGAGTATCTACATATGGAGCTATGTAACTTGGACCGCTATTTTCATCCTCATCCACTCTTTTTTTTTTGAATCTGTCTGTTTATTCGCTGTTTTGACCTATTCCAATTTATTGGCAGAGCTTTATGAAAGAAGATGTGGGGAAACCCCGAATGAAACCCCGTGATCCTCGACGAATTCTTCACACCAATTTGATTCCAACAAATGTGAGCTCTACACCACAACCTAAACCTAATGGAACTGACCCATCAACCATTCATACCGGTACAATTACCCCAAGCAGCCGAGAATCGAACATGCCAGTGAACCCAACATCTTCACTTCCTTTGTCCACTAATTTACCTGATATAACTCAACCATTCACCAAAAAGCTAATGAATATTGCTGATATTTTGTCTGGAAAGCAAGTGGCAAACCCCTTAGGCTTACTGCCCCAAGTCGTCTCGCAACCAGCTCAACTTAAGACTGCAATGGAGGATGGTTTGGTGCCCCCCAATATTGTTATGGGCACCTCTTTGCCAGAGAAAACTGCAGTAGATTCTTTGGAGTCAGAGAACCCATGGGGTGATGTGAACCATCTTTTAGAAGGCTTGGATGATAAACAGAGGCAAGCAATCCAGAAGGAACGGGCTAGAAGGATCGAGGAGCAAAACAAAATGTTTTCTGCCAGGAAGCTCTGCCTCGTGTTGGATCTTGACCACACTCTTCTTAATTCTGCCAAGGTATACACAATTCTTTGATGCACTGCTGATATGATGGCAGCCAGCAAATCCTTAAGCTGGTGGTTGGATGTGTAGCGACATTTCTTTGTAGCGTAGATTTGTAATGCTTAAGTGGATCAAACTTGGAATTAGATAGGCATTCATTTGATGTATTGCTAACTGCTTATTTTTTATTTGCTGTATCAGTTCATAGAAGTAGATGGTTGGATGTGTGGCCCCACTTCTTTGTCATGTAGATTTATAATGCTTGCATGGAACAAACCTGGAATTAGATAGGCATGCATTTTTTGCATTGCTAACTGCTTATTTTTTATTTGCTGTTTGTTCAGTTCATAGAAGTCGATCAAGTCCATGATGAGATCTTAAGAAAGAAGGAGGAGCAAGACCGGCTCAAGCCTCGCCGTCACCTCTTCCGCTTTCCACATATGGGGATGTGGACCAAGTTGCGACCGGGGATTTGGAATTTTCTTGAAAGGGTTAGTCTTGTATTTGGTTAAATATATGACTAGAAATGCTTTGACTTATCTGCCGCAAATAATTATTGTGCAGGGGCATTGCCCTTAATTATGGAGGTAATAAATAAGTCATGGCAAGTGTTTTTTGGCATACTTATTTTCATGCAAAATTAATATTTTGTCACTGCCGTTGGGAAGTACAGGGAATGTCCATACCCTTGACTATGTTATAATACCCAGATTAGGCCATTTAAAAATTCGGAAACAGATCATTTTAAGCTTACCACTATTGTGGTGGTATCTAGAAGTGCTCTTTATATAGAACATGTACTTGTTTCTTGAATTGTAATAGCTAACTCTTTCCATTGTCAATTGCAGGCTAGTAAGCTTTATGAGCTGCACCTTTACACAATGGGAAACAAGGTATATGCCACTGAGATGGCAAAGGTGTTGGATCCCACTGGGTCATTATTTTCAGGGCGTGTTATCTCAAAGGGTGACGATGGTGACCCATTTGACGGGGATGAGAGGTTGCCTAAAAGCAAGGATTTAGATGGGGTTTTAGGGATGGAATCTGCAGTTGTTATCATTGATGATTCTGCCAAGGTCTGGCCCCATCACAAGCACAACTTGATCGTTGTTGAGAGGTACAGGCACCCAAATTTAAATGCTACTTATCTGTTCTCCTTGTTTTTCTTCTTTATTGTTTTATTTCCTTGGAAGATTTGGAGTAAATTTACTCTCCTTATCTCCTATCCTTGGCTCTTTTTTACAAATGGATGGTTTACTTGACTAATGTTTGGTGTCGTTTTATTTGTTTTGTTAGGTATACATATTTTCCCTGTAGCAGACGTCAGTTTGGACTGCATGGGCCATCTCTTCTCGAGATTGACCACGATGAAAGGCCTGAGGATGGCACTTTGGCTTCATCTTTGGCGGTGAGAATTTCTCTCTTGTTTGGGTGGGACAGTGAAACAGAGACATTGGTGCATAATACTTTAAACTGGGAACCATTAACTTTTCTTCATAGTATTAGTTCTCAAGAAGAGAAAACTCTGTTAATAGGGCAAAGTATCAGGTAGAATCGCCTTATGCACTTCTTTAATTTGAACCTTCCATTTTGTAAAAATTTGAGGGGATTTCTATGTATCAGTCTTAGTTTATAACCTCCTTTATTTTCTGATACAATCATCAAAAGTTACCAAGAGTCAAGGTTTTGTTTCATAGGTTTGGTATTAAAAATCAATCCATTTATATTGTTTTTTTTTTAGAATCAGTTACATTCTGTATCATCCATTGAAAATTTGTCAAAATACATGTAGTCCCTGCATTGGCTATAAAGCCGCTGCCTTAATTCTGAACCATCTATCAAATTCTCTGATCTTCTATGTCATGTCAGAGTGCATGTAATGCCGCTTTTATTTGTTTTTTCATATGGGTTTATTCTTGGACTTGTCCCAGGTTATTGAAAAGATACATGAGAGCTTCTTCTCTAATCGGTCCCTGAATGAGGTAGATGTGAGAGATATTCTAGCATCTGAACAGCAAAAGATACTAAAAGGGTGCAAAGTGGTGTTTAGTAGGGTCTTTCATGTTGGTCTCGCAAACCCTCATCTTCACCCACTTTGGCAAACAGCTGAGCAATTTGGTGCGATTTGCACCAACCAGATTGATGATGAGGTCACTCATGTTGTGGCTATTTCTCTTGGCACTGATAAGGTATATGTTTATATGTCTACAACATCTTTTTTTTTCGTATTTGTCTTATTATTGGTCATTGCTTTTCTTTTTGTCTTCTTTTACTAGTGTCCATACACTTGCCCCTTATTTTCAGCCTTATATGATTGTGATCCCTCTTTTAATTATGTTTCTCTTCTTTTTATGTGGCTCTCCAATCTTTTGACAGGATTTTGTTCCTAATCATGCTTTTACTTACCTGCTTATTTTTTCTCGTCGTTTCTCCATTCCTTTACTGTTTCATGATGTTTTAACAGGTTAACTGGGCTATATCTACGGGTAGATATGTGGTCCATCCTGGATGGTAAGCACTCATTAATTATGCAAAAGAATATGATAATAACAGAGTAAAGAAACTTTTTTTTGATACGGTAACAGAGAAGAAAATTAGGAAAACAACCCCCCAACCCCCAACAAACAAAAAATACACACACACTCTCTCTGCCTCTCTCTCACACACTCACACACACCAGGCTTGACTGAGTTCATATGGTTTTACAGGTTGGAAGCCTCAGCCCTGTTATATAGGCGAGCGAATGAGCGGGACTTTTCCATTATGCCCCCTCCACCATCATCATGACAATCCATTCTTCAAACCCAAAATACACGAAGCATCTAACTAAACCCAACTTAACTTGCTGCCTTTCAAATCTGCTAAACTAAAACCCTGCTTTGTCACTGACAAAACAAAACTCGGAAACACGAAGTGAAGTGAGGTTACTGTCACTTTGCCCTTTCCTCACCTAAAGAAACCCACCTCGTCCTCATGTGAAGCTTTTCAGGGACAAGAAGAAGCCACAACAGGAAACCTATGCACTTACAAATCTCAAATCTTGAAGCTCAACCTGAAAACAGACCGGAAGAACCAGGTTAGGAACCTGAAAATCTAGCCTGTGAGACCAGAAAATTTGGAGAGCTAGCTCAACCTGAAAACCGACCAGAAGAACCAGGTTAGGAACCTGAAAATCTAGCCTATGAGACTAGAAGATTTGGAAAATTTGGAGAGCCAGATTGAGTATTTCCCATTAAAAGTGGTCATATGAAGTCACCTGAAAATCAACAAGAAGAACCAGGTTAGGAACCTGAAAATCTAGCCTGTGAGACCAGAATTTGGAGAGCCCAGAGTGAGTGAAGATTCTTTCCCATTAAAAGTGGTCATATACACATACAGATTGATAAAACATACATATAATGGGAGAAAATTGCCACAGCATGTAAGCTTGGATTGGCCAGAAAGTTCGGTGATTCCCAAAAAAAAACAAGTGGGAGGTGAAAAAGTAATATGTGATCGTAGAAAAATACAAGAAACATGGGAGGTGAAACATGGGAGGTGGGAAATTCAGCTAAGTTAAAAAGGCACCCGTTACCATCATTTCCCTAAAATTGGATTTCGTTGAAGTGATGCTTTTTGGTAATTTAAAGAATTTGAAGCATATTCAAAAGGTAAACAATGTGTGGGCATTGATGGCAAATGGTACTTTTTTTTATTTAAAGAAAGGGAAAGATGAGAAGTGTTGAAAAGGCAGCAAAGAAAATATTTGACTTGTGTATTCTTCTACACTCCGTTCGAACAAAATGAATTTAACGAAAAAAAAGAAAAAAAAAGAAAGAAAGAAAGAATCGGCGGTATAGTATTCACTTTTAGATTTGGTTTGAAAATTGTTCCATGCATTGGAGGGGATGCATTTTTATATTTGCATCCCATGAGGTATAAAATGTCCATCATAAAGATGGGTGCAACTGGGTGCTTCATCTAAAAACAACAGTTGAAACTAACGGTTTAAAAGTTTTATTTCGTAAAATTATTTTATTTTAATTTTGAAAATTTATTTATTATTTTATATTCCTGATCTCCATAGAGCTTGTGTCTTTAAAAATTGGGTTAAAAAATCCATGATATTTAAGACCATTTCTACATGGACTCCGAAACCGTGTCTTATGGTTTTAAAATAGATTTTTAATAGGGGATTCATTTCTTCATGGACTTAGAAACCGTGTCCTTTGGTTTTACTTCCCAATTATTTTGTGCCATCATACAAATGTCAAAAGGGGAGGGAAGAAAGCATTGATACCGGGCTGGCCACGTGGCATAACGTGAGTTGTACTCTCAAGTGTTGATTGGACACGGCTTTTTTGAAATTTCCTTAAGAATTTTTACATTTTTGTATTTGCAATTTGGAAATTGGTTGGGCTTTAAAAAGGGTAAACCTTCTGTTGGGCATAAAGCAGCGTTATCAAATTCGTTTCGTTTCAACCGAAGAGGTTGATGCTTCCCGATTTTGGGCATCGTTCTTACCGGAAGAGGTTGAAACTTTCGGATTTTGGGCATAAACTGAAACGAAGCAAAGCGTGGTGTTGCTATTTCAGTTAAATTGGGGCCGCTTTAGTCAGATTCGTGTTTGTTTTGGTTAGCAAAGAAATATTTATATAAAAGTATTTTGTTTTTTTTATTTTTTTTATTTATTTTTATTATTTGTATATATTTTGTATATAAATATCTATTTTATTTATATTAAATTTTTTTTAAAAATCTAAATTCTTCCCTTAAATCGACCTAAACATCGAATTGTTTTATTTTTTTTAATCAAACTGAATAAGATTTTGCGCACTTTGCGAATCTGACAACATTAGTATAAGGGTTTAACATAGATGGTAGGTCCGGGAGAGTAATACAAGGACTTGGATAGCAGAAGGGAAAGTTTTCCTCTTTTATGGTTTGCTTCTCCCCTAAGATGGACCAAACAGTTATTCTTGTTTGAACATTTATGATGGGCAAAAATTTCGTCCATCTATTATTTGTCCCTTGTTAGTTCTTGAATGCCTAATAGCCACAAAAGCTTATGGTTGGAAGCAATTATGTAGCCTATACTCCTCTCTCTCTCTCAAAGCTACCCCTTCTTTCCATTGTGATGTGGAAGCATAGGCCAGTTTCTCTCTTAGAAAAACTCTCTCTCTCTCGGGACCACTCGTTAGAACTTGTGAGCAACACCAATATCCCTCTCTCTCTCTCTCTCTCTCTCTCTCTCGACTGTCTAGGGAGAGTGAAAAATAAATATTGATCGATATTTTTTTTTGTTTTTAAAACGAGTTTTTAAGAGACATGGCAACAAGTTTGCATAGCCACATCGCTCGTCATTCTTATTATTTTCTCTTTAATATTAGACATAATGGGAGTTTAGGTCTAGAATCTAAAAGTTTTAAATTAGCCGGATTAAGATAGTCTATGGGATGCAATTTTAGTAATAATAGGAGTAGATGTGAGAAAATAGTTAATATTGACGGTTAGAAAATTTCAAAAAGAGTGTATTTTTGATATCTTGAGTCAATAATCCAGGAAAATAGAGAGATCGATGATACTTTTAACCACGTATTATTGGGCTTATTTTTTGTTTTTTTTGTTTAGCCTTTCACTTGAATTAACTTGTACCTCCTAACAGATGTTGTACTAGATCTGTACTATACATAGCCAGCCTACTTAAGTTTACTCTCTCTCATCTTATCACTTATTGGTGCCACTTAATTTTTTCGTATTTATTTCAAATTTTATTCCTTCTTGCCTTGCCACTTGTCCATCTCAATATTCTCGTATCTACTACCCTCATTCTATGGGTGTATTGTTTTTGACCGTCCAACATTTTGTTCTATAAAGCAAAGCTGGTTTCACAATTGTTTTATAGAAATTGCCTTTCAGCTTCATTGTTATCCTGCGATCACATAAACTTCCAATTGCATATCTCCACTTTGCCCACCTAACTCTAATTCTATGTGTGATATCGAGAAAAGATATTGGGACTTATTGCCTCACCTAGGGTATGACTCTTAATAGAGAAGAATGACGGACCAATATTCATGTAGCTGACCCCAATTAGTTCGAAAAAAACTTTGACAGTGATGATGATTCGATGTTTAGGTTTGCTCCCAAAGTCATCGGTGGTCTTGCGAAAAGAATTTTTTTTTTTTAAATATCAAATAAAATTCCACGATTTGTATTTTTTTCTTTTTTTTATCTAATTTGTGATATGGCTATTTTGGTTACAAATATTTGAAAAAACACGTAGGGGACCTGTTGAAAATATTAAACTGGAAGGGTTCTATTTCACATATCTAAATAAGTTAGGATTGTTTTTGAAAGGGGCCTGAGATTTGGAGGAAGAAAATTTCTAGATGTTTAAAAGTTTCGAAAGCGATGGTTACCCAAATTTACGAGGATTTCATAACAAATCACGGGAGATGGATAATATTAACAAAAACTTTAGAAGTTCCTCTCAAACTCGACTAGGGAGGCACCTAAAGGCTAAGTTTGATGCAAATATCTGGAAAAGCATCTCAGAGCACTGGCTTGATGAAGATATCAGCTACTTGATTACGTGATGAAACAATCTACGTGACAAGTAATCCAAGAGCAACCTTTTCATGTACAAAATGATAGTCTAACTCAATGTGATTAACTGTTATATAGAAACACTCATATTGTCACAACAAAATGTTGGTGGTTGAGAAAGTGCACCCCAATATCCCTAAGAATAAAAGGAGGCATGCCAATTCTTCAATAGTGGATGCCCTAGATTGGTATTCAACTTCAGCACTTGAATGAGCCACAATCGACTGTTTCTTAGCACTTTAAAATATGCAGTTGGAACCAAGATAACTGCAGAAACCAGTGGCTTAATGGTGAATATTTGGAAACCCAATCCAGTCAGCATCCGAGAAGGCGTATAACTCAAGAGAACTGGTAGATAAGATTATTATACCATAAGATTGTGCACTATTGAAATACCAAAGAATCCACTTAACTGTCTGAAAATGTGCAATTGTAGGGGCATGCATAAATTGATACATTTTATTAACACTTTAGAAAAGGTCAAGCCGTGTTATGGTAATGTATTTGAGTGCACCAATAATGCTCCGATAAAGAGGTGGATCAAACAATAGATCAGAACTCCAGTGAACATTATTAGTCACTACCGTTGGTGTTGAAATAGGTTTGGCACCAGCACATGGGCACGATCAAGAAGATCCCGAGTATATTTGCTTTGTGACATAAAGATTCCACCAAAAAAGTAAGATACCTCTATGCAAAAAAAATAGTAAAGCAATCCAAGATCTTTCATTATAAATTCTTTTTTAAGTTGAAAAATAAACCATTATAAAAGATCTGAATTATCACATGTAACAATAATCATCAACATAGAAGAGAAGGATAACGGTGCATTGAGTAGTGTGACAAATAAATAGTGATGAAAAAGTTATACTATAATAAAACTCGAATAATAAGAAGTAGGCACTAAATCGATTAAACCAGGTATGAGGTGGTTACTTAGGACAATATAAAGCCATGTTTAATTTGCAAACATGAATTGGATATTCAAAGCTAACAAAGCCAGGAGGTTGTTCTATAAATATAGGCTCATTAAGAAAGCCATGTAAAAAAGCATTTTTCACATCAAGTTGTTTGATAGGCTAGTAACGAACAATACCTACGGTGAGCACAATTCGAATACTAGCAAGCTTAATAATTGGACTAAAAGTTTTAGAGAAATAAACTCGAATAACCTGATTACATTCTTTTCAACTAGTCTGGTCTTAAGTCTTTTTAGACTACCATTAGACTTTAGTTTAGTCTCATAAATCCAATGGCAATCAATAATATTTATACCTGGAAGACGAGGAACTAACTCCCAAGTGGAATTAACATGTAGGACTTCAATTTACTCTTCCATTGCACGATACTAGCCCGGATGGCCCAAAGCAGACTTAATAGACTTAGGTTTAGAAGAGATATTTTCAAAAGTAAGATCATTTGAGACTGCTGGGATAGGAGAATTCGAGGTTTTAAGTGCCATCTTGAGTTCTTGTGACCATATGGTGACGAGATAATTCAGGGGCTCATATAAAACTAGATTGGTTGGTTTCTTGGATGACAACATTTTCATTAGCATGAGCATGTGTTGCATCATCTTGGACATCTTGTATGAGTGTCACAGTGATGGCATCTTCCTCTACAAGAGAAGTTGGAGAGCTATGATTGTTGAGAGGCAAATCAACTGGAGTAGCACACACATCCGGGCATTCCTTATGGGTGATCTATGTAGAGGTGATGAATCAGAAAAAGAAGTCTATACGTCAGATTCACAAGACTCAGACCATTCCGCATAAGTAGTCAGGTACCTCTGAACATGTGCACTATCAAATAAAAAACTTGGATTAACATATGGAAAAATGTTTTCATCAAATACAACATGTCTGGAGATAAAGACTCGCCCTGTGGGTAGATGCAGATGTTTGTAACCTTTATATTGAATATTGTGACCCAAAAATACGCATAGAAGAGAATGACGACAAAATTGATTTGTAGCATAGTCTCGAAGGTACGGAAGATACCCACACCCAAAAACCGGAAGTGAAGAACAGTTTGGTAGGCGGCCAAACAACAAAGAATATGGTGAATCCATTTACAAATTGGCTGA